GAATTCAATATAAGTACCTTTGGTTAAATGTTAATATTAATTTTCTTGTATTACCAATTAGCGATTTTCTCACTAAGGGTGGCTGCATCGACGTCCTGCCGTTAATACATAACAGCTGGTTTTTATACAGGTTGTTAACTGGACACTCTGGACAGTTGCTTATAATAATAATAATAACTTTATTGCCTAACAGGTATTTACCCATACAAAAGACAATTTAGACATAATAATAATATTCAAATATAGTAATAATTAATTAAATATAAAAAAATACAGAAAAAAAGTATATGTATATATGTGAAACAAAAGATAGATGAAAAAACAGATAACAATTAATGTTTGAAGAAATGAGTGTCCAGATGCCCTTTAAAACTTTGGAGGGAGTTGTGGAAGAGATCCAAATCTGTATGTCTGCTGCAATAAGACACGGAATATTGTGGAAGTTCTTAGTTGTGCGTGATATAAAACCAAGTGCCTTCAGTGATGCTTTACAGATTTCCTCAACGTGATAGTTAAAACTGAGACGCTTGTCGATATAGACGCCAAGGTCTTTTACCGTATCGCAGTTTCCCATTGTAATGCTGTCTATTTTGTAGTCGTATATGATTTATCCGTGCTTTAGTGTTATTGGCATTTTCTTACATTTCTGTATGTTGAGTGGTAGATGGTTGCGAACAGTCCAGGCAAAGATGGAGTTTAATGAATTCTGAACTCGTATGCAATCTTCTAAGTCGGTCACAAGTCACAACAGAGAACAATTTTAGATCGTCGGCGAATAATAAGGATGGACAGTCAATTACGTTGAATATATCATTGATATAAATGGAGAATAGGGGTGCGAGGTTACTACCCTGAGGAGCGCCACTTGTTGGTGTAAATCTGAAAGAACGGTGGCCATTATATTCAACGTATTGCGATCGGCAAGAAAGATATGACGAAAAGAATGCTACGAGTTCTTCTGTAAAAACCAACATTTTCCAATTTATGAAGCAGAATGCTTTTGAGAAGTCCATAAAAATTGCATCTGCCTGCTGGTGTTCTTCAATAGCTTTATAGGTGTATTCCATAAATGTAATAAGATTTGTTACAGTAGATCTTTTTGGGAAGAAATCATGCTGATTGGGGGAAAGTTCGTTTTGGATCTGCGGAAATAATTTCGTAAATATGCACAGTTCAAAAGCCTTGGCAAAGTTTGATAAAATGGCAATCGGCCTGTAATTACCAATGACGTTGACTTTACCGGCCTTGAATACTGGACAAATCTTTACATTCTTCCAGGCATCGGGGAAAGTATTAGTAGGCAGAGCCAAGTTAAAAATCTTAGTAAGTGGTTTAGAGAAGACCGCTGCACAGTCTCTAACAATGACAGAGGAACACTATCAGGTCCTGCAGTAACATTAGTTTTCAGTTTTCGTAACGCGTTGAGAACATCGGATTCATCAATTCCAATCAGGGAAACACAATTTAGTGGTAGCTGTTTGTGATGGGAATAATCGAATTATTTTCACCATCGAATAATTAGTAATAATTCATATTTCACAATCGAATTAATAATTCGAATTATTTAGTAGTATTATAAATTTAACCTAAAAATAAATTCGTCCCAACTAGTGCTCGTCTAGGGGCTATTTTAAACAAATCTGAACCATTGCCATACCTATATTCTATCACTGAATAAAAAATTAAAAAAAAAATATTCTTTATTCAATGTATTCTATTAACTGTGCCGAAGCCGTTTAATAAATTAAACCATAATTTAAAGTTTTAAATTTAAAAGTGCCGAGTTTATGATTGTTTCAATTCCTATTGAAAAGCTCATATCTAAAATAAAAGCTTCTTCTAAAACGATATAAGTATGTCCTTGTTTACGTGCGGTTCGTATTTCTTTTTATTTTATCAGTTGCAATCAATAATTATTTAGATAAAAGAAGAAAATTAATTTTAGTGTTCGGCAGGTGTTCGGTGAAATTTGGGTGAGATGGAAATGAACCAAATAATAGTAGTATTCTTTCGTTCTGAACGAAATTAAAATTTTCACTTAAACTGATTTATTCCCACTTGGTATAGGAAATAACAATGATTTCTGGATTTTTCTATATCGGATCGTTCCTTTCTTTGTCGATTCCCTTTATAAATCAGTTTAAGTGAAAATTTTCAGTTCGTTCAGAACGAAAGAATACTACTAATAGTACTATACTAATTAGTAATATTCGTATTCGTCCATAAGAGGTTATGTTTTATGTTCATTTGTAATTCGGTTACCACAGATATAATATAAAATACTACTAATTTTTATCTCGAAAAAGATAATTCGAATTAGTTAGTTTTAATTTACTATCGAATTAGTCGTATTATTTAATTCGAATTTTCCCAACACTAGTAGCTGTACAGGACAGCCATCCCAATTGTCCTGCTTCTGTTCGTATACACTTCGGAAAAATGATCCAAAAGCATCCAGTATTTGAGATGTGTCGAAAAGCTGAGTGTTTTCATATTCCATAATGCCTGGTATGCGGGAATGCTTACGCTTCTGGTTCACAAATTTCCATAAATCTTGAGGTTGGGTTTGCAGATTGTTTTGGATTGTCTGTTCATATGTTGAGTAGGCTTCTTTGATTTGATTCTTAGTGAGTGCGCGAAGACGCTTGAAGGATTCTAATGCAATAACGAAGTTGGTGCACTTGTAAATTCTGAACTGTCTGTATTTTTCTTTTAAGTTGTTGATTATATCCCTTGTGAACAAGTTGTGAACCATGCTGGATAAGTCCTGGAACTTTTCTGTTTATCATAAAGTGGTATTACTGCATCCATGATAGGTAGTAACTTTCGTATAGAATGCTCTAACCATATCATCTAAGTTGTCAAAACGCCCTGTCTCCAAGAAAGACCCATCAGTATTAAAAAATCGGTCGTATAATAGTGGGTAGTCCGCTCTGCGAAAATTGTATACTTTTAGGGATTTCCCGGAGGAAAGATTGGAATGCAGTTACGTGTCAATGTTACACGTAATGCCTAATGTTCGGTGATAAGCATCTTCGGGTAGCAGAGGTTCAGCCTTGTACTTATAGGGGAACAGAACACTGCCTATTGAGAACGCATGCACAGGGTTTTCTGCCGACTCGTCCCGTCATCGCATCGTCTATCGACGAGCGGGCCGAGGTTGCCATATTTGAACCATAAAGCTCTTGGCGCGAGCCGCGAGTAATGAACAAATTAACAACCTGTATATGAAAACCAGTTGTTATGTTTTAACAGCAGGATTACGGGACGTCTTTGCAGCCACCCTAAGTATCATATTATTAATTTATTGTAGATTGTAGATACAGATGAGACTAAAACCATATAAAATAAAACGGTTAATTTTCAGAACAACTACAAACACAAAAATATGTTTTTTTTTTATAAAATTTAACCGATTTTGTAGTACTTTATATGTATCCATTACAGATAGATGTGTATGTCATCGAATACATGTCTATTAAAAAGTGGTGATGTGAGCCCAATGACCATATCTGTGCCAATGACTAAAGAATACAAAGGACAAATAACACCTGAGACCAAATTGTTACCATGGCTCCAAACAATGCCGTGGCCACATATTTCTTTTAACTTAGCTGCTTGAAGAGATATTTATATTTTTGATAACTGTTTTGACTACGCCTATGGTGTATGTGGTGGTATCATACTAATTAATTACAAAAAAAAAACGTATTAAAATGTTAATAAAATGTACAAAACTAGCGTTGACGTATAGCACATATCAAATACATATCAGAAAAATAATTATCAAATTCAATAAGAAAATGCTAAAAAGGTGGAGTGGGCCTATGGAACGTAACTCCCAGGCTCTTTCTTATCGTTGAGGCTGTTACACTTAAAAGCTGAACGATCACCATTGTAATTAAATTTACACAAAGTTCACTACACACAACAAACTATTAAAAATCGCTAAAATTTGGAGCTGGTGACTTATCTGCAGGGTCCAAAATGGTAGTGTCTAATAGCACAAATTCCGTATATGTGCGTTACACGCCTAGATCATATATACTTACGTGGATAAATCAACGCCATAAGTTTAGCATTAAAAAATATGTCCCCAACATCACGACATGCCATTTTCAAACCTTTTTATTGCACTTATGAAACGTTCAATAGGTTTGTCTTTCTCGAGGACCTGACTTTACGCATGCGCATTAAAAGTGGCACGTATTTTCAAAATAATTACAATTTTATCCGGTTTAGAAAGTACAAATTATACATTGTTATGGAAACCAACTGGTAATGGTTCTGTTTATTTGCATCACCCATCTTTCTGAGAAGAATAATAATGTTGATGGTATTTTTCGTACCTTAAATTCTTTAGGCATAGCCGTAGAATAAGGGTAAAAATAATATTTTATACAATTTGTCGAATATACATATACATATAACCATATTAAATGTATGTTCACAACAATATTTCTATTTTTTATTCGCTGGGTTTTACTTTTTGGGTAAATACTCGTAAAAATGACAAGAAAATGTTTGGAGTGTGGAAATTAAAATATAAATGTCCCCGAATTATCTTTTCACAGGCAAGTAAAGTATTCAGTTGTTCTTTTATGTAGGTATATTAAACCACATGCATACTTTCTGGTTAGATTTCCTAAGAATATTGATATTCGTATGGAGTGGCTAATTTATTTGTTATATAATTTAATTTTTGTGACAGTTACAATTATTGTTCAAATATATACATTTTACAAATTAAATTTTTAAAATTAATGTCCAAATTTGGCGCGTGGGCGTTAGGTCCTCGACAAGGATAGATAGAGTAGAAGCACCGCGTGTGCAACAAAAAAAGAAGATAAATGGAAGTCGTTGATATGCTTGGGACAGTTTCCATAGTGATTTACTTATCCACGTAAGTATATATGATCTAGGGTTACACGTCCTTGTATTCTTTAGTCATTGAGTGAGCCATTATAACAAAACCTTAAAAATCAATAAAAACAGATGTGAACAATACAGAGAACAAAAAATATACTTAGAGGAAATAAAAATAGCTAACATTTTTTACTTATAAACTAAGTTGATATTTTCAAAATATTTTAGGTAGGTAGATTGCAAGTTATTGATATTGTAAAAATAGCAAATTTTATATTTATAGTGATTAGAGCTGAGAGGCCTGGGCCTCCTCAGTCCTCCCCATAGATCCGCCTGTTTCATACATAAAAATTGCTCTATCTCTACCAAAATTAGATCTATTTATTTACTATTATGGTTTTATTTTCAGTGGTGTATGGTAGAGCAATAGATAAACCTAGAGCAAATAATTTTTCGATTATATAACAATGTAAAATCAGGCATTATATTTTTTAGAGTCTGAATAAATTTCTAACCAGCATTAACTACTTAAAATAGAATTATAATCGTCTCCTTTTTGCACTAGATGGTGTAACAGTAATTGGACTAGACTTTCCACTAGATCCCGAGTCATCATTTGGCTTTAAACTACCTAGAATTAGATATTGTTATTTGTATTAAAAATCTATCTTTATATTAAGAGTAATCTTACCTCTAGTTCTTTTGGTTGGCTTAGGTGTATCTCTCCCCTTATTGTCATCTTTAACATTTGTAGAATTCCTATTTTTACTTGAAGGCTTTCCACTCTTCTCTGCCTCTTTTTTTATGTCTTTTTTATTATTACTAAGCATCTTATTATTATCTTTACCCTCCTTACTATCTCTTCTTAGTGTTGTATCTTTGGTGTTTTTTGTCAAAGTTTTCTCATCTTTTTTGGTGTCCCTTGCTAGTTTAGGCATTTCCATACTGGTCTTTTCATCGTCTTCCTCCTTTTTAATAAGCAACATTCCAAATTCTGATTCTGGCAAGCAAAATTCCCTTTCATTATTTGGGAATGGTATGGACTCATTTTCATCTAAAGCTTCTAAGTTATACATAGTTTCTAGATGAGCCCAAATTTTTTGAGGGTCGATATCTTTGTTTAAACTTTCGGAGAACTTGTCACATATAAGGGCCATTTGAAAGTATTTATTTACCCCTGGATATTTAATAGGTTAAGTAAAATTTAAAATAATAATATTTTTTGGACTTACCGACGGGTTTGTGTCCTACCATAGCGTCTAACAACTGACCCTCGTTTATAACGTTCCATTCTATATCTTCTGTCGACATTAATAATTTGTTTATATTGCTACTACCGCCTCCTAACATTAAAAACAAAGTAGTTGCCATTAGCCATAGATTAGTGTTTCTGGTGGAAAGGATAGTTATAGTAGGCAGCAGGGTTCGGAAAACTACATGTTACTTTTAAAAACTACATCATATGTAGCATGTAGTTAATGTAGTTTATGTAGAGGGTGTAGTTTATGCAATGAGGTTATAAAAGGGGGAGGCGACATAAGCCAATGCCTTCTGTTAAAAGATCAGCCTACAGGCGGACTCTTGTTTACTTCATCAGCTGTACATACTTAGATATTGGGTTAGATTCCGTTTCATATTTTGTCCGGTTGATTTTGGTTTTAACTCTTTTGATTTTGGTATTATTGTGTGCTTAGTGCAAAAAACTAATTATTTTGAGTGTTGAAGTGACATAAACTACTACCAGATATATGGTCACTCTCGGTTTCGCACAAAAAATAGAAATTTTAAAAATTACGTTGTGCAAGTGATTTAAACTAAAAGTGCCCATACATTTTATCGTGATTTTTTGTGTAATATTTATTTTGATGTTTGACGATATTTCTCTTTATGTTTTTTTTGTAACATAATTTGGAAATAAATAAATATTATTATTATTATTATTATTATTATACTAATTTATTGGCGGTAATTTGAGCGGTGGTAATTGCCGATGATTATAACAATATATTATAGGTACCAATTTACCCCTCAGTGCGATTAGTTCAATCACAAATGAACTGATTTATAGCCGGCCAACCGGTACGACAAAAAATTGTTTATTTTGGACACAGTAGGTATGTGATACATTTGATTATGTAACCTACCATATCTATCGAAAAACGGGGATTCAAAGAATAATTGATATTTTACATATTTCGAGACAACATGTCTTGGTCGAACGAGACTATATCTGAGTTTTTACCCCTATATGAAAAAGAACAAATAACTTGGAACCCCAGAAATAATAATGCACATAAAAATAGAAATGAAATACACGATGGCTGCCTGAGAATACATCAAAACTTGAGTATCAATTGCACCATGAACGAATTAAAAAATTAATTAATCAAAGAATTAAAAAAGAAGAAGAGTTCTGTGTTGTCTTTTTAGTTCCTAAAATACAGGAATTTTAAAATGTTGCATTTTTCGATTCCATCGTATATCGGTTATCTTATAACTTATCGAAAAGGTGAAAACTCAGTCTCGTTTAGTTTTTTACTAGAATCCAGTGATGTTAACTAGTTTCGCTGATGGTTCTCATTTTCGAAATCTGACTTCTATTTTTTAAATGAGACACCCAGTATATTATTTTTTTATATTATTTGCCTTGTTATGGGATTTCTGAAAATATGATATACTCTAAAATAATATTTTCATAAATAAGGCAAAAAAATATTATTTAACTTTTGAACATAAATAGCCCTAGTTAAAAAAAGTATTATTATCTTATTTAATTTAATTTAACCAGATGATTTTGCTTTCCATCTTGTTATCTTAATAAGTGGCCGGCCGTAGCTCCAGCATTAGTGTGTCGATCTGCGGAGCGGAAGGTACTGGGTTCGATCCCCAGCCAGTACGGTCGCTTTATTTATTTAAATAAAAATATTTATTTATCTAAATAGAGCGACCAACAAGCCGCCACCTCAAGGAAGGCAATGGCAAACCACCTTGAGTATATTTGCCACCTTGAGTAAATACAGCCTTTCAAATAGTGCCTTTCGGATTTGGCGATAAACTGTCTCGTCCCGTGTACTTGTGAAACACTGATGACACACATCACAAGTACATGCGAGAGGTAGCCGACGATCTATATAGAGTATAGCACTGTAAGAAGATCTTAATAAACTGCACTGAAAATAAAGTTGCGGAACAAATTATTTGATTGTATGAATTTAAACCCAATTTAAACCGATAGTCTATGTTAAAAAGTTATATAATGTATTTTTTGTCTCTGTCTCTCGGTCGGGCGTGAGATCGCAAGTGCGAAAATACGCATTGGCGCGTCCTGGCTCGACGATTCGCGCGCCAGGCGCGTGGACGGCAAGGTCGGCAAGCCACACGCCGTGTAATGGCACCTTTAAACTTAGGCGCAGGAAAGAAATTTTTGCCTGAATCGCTTTTTTTGTAATATAACATTTTTTGCATAACGAACGGAAATCAAGCTAATACCAGCTTTATTCGGGTTCTTGTTATTACCGATTCTGAACCGTCCTAGAACTGTGATGCGTATGCGCAGAAGGAAATATGAAGACATTGTTTCATTTGCGCATGCGCTGCAGAGTTCTAGGACGGTTCAGAATCGGTAATAATAAGAACCCGAAAAAAGCTACCGTATGGTCGAAAAAAAGAATGAAATGAAGATCGTTGTCATTTTATGTAAAGTTATCATGGTAAAATCGCTGTCATCATATATGTAAAGTCATATGTAAAGTTATATGGGCAATTGATCGTCATTTCTAAGCCAACTGGACGCCGGGTTTTTTCGATCATACGGTATTTACTATGGTATTTACTAGTTGCCTATCCTACATCTTGTTTTAATTTTAATTGTTGTTAACCTCAACAATTCAATTTTGTTTTTTATTTTTTATTCTCATTTTAAATATTAAAGGATATTAGCTATACAAAAATTAAAATCTACAAATATAAAGAGATAAAAAGGTACGGAGATATATTTAGAGAATGATATGCAGAAAATTTCCTTTATTATTTCAAATTGAAGGTTTTTTGGTGTTAAACATTGGCTTTATATAGTTAAATATTTGAACAAAAATAAAGATAAGTAAAATTATTTTGTATTCATATTTTATTTATTGTAGGAGTATACACGGTCTTTCTTTTTTCTTTTACTGCAACTATAACTAATACATCATCAAATTTATAATGGCTTCCAAGGTAAGATTTACTTTATTTTGTAATGAAAATAATATTTTATGTTGTTACATGTTACTACTTTTTAGATTGATAAATTAGTAAAAACATACAAGTCTTTATCTAGCGTATCTGCTTTAAGTGCTGGACAAATTCAATCTCCAAATATAATTAGCACGACTTGGTCCCAAAGGAACATTGAAAAAGGAAAATCGGCTAAATTTAGCTCTACAATTCTGCTAAACAATTTTGAAAAAGTGGGAGAAATTTTACCAATTGATATATCTACAGAGTAGGTATTTTGTTAAATCTATTAATTTGGGAATAAAAAATTATGGTAAAATAATTACAAGTGGAGTAGTGAGTAGGTATATTATGAACACCCCATGGATAAAGAAAGAACAGTCTGTACAGAGTGTTCCTTAATGACATGCTAATATTTAAGGAAGAGATTTTTGGACCTATTTTAAGAAAAAAAATCTTCACATGAATGTATGTCTTAATATATCTTAACTTTTGAGATACAGGGCGGTAAAATTTTCTGAAAAGAAACCTTTTAATAAACTCTTTTAGGTTAGAGGTTATTATAATTATCTTTATGATATTTCATACACGTCTTCTATGCATAAAACTATATTTTTTTTGGTGTACAAAATTTTTTTGTTGTATTTCTTAATTTTCATCCAATGCTCATAGACACAAAAACAATTTCCACAAAACGGTCACCAACGGTTTCCACAAACGGTCAAAAACTATGCGTCCGACGAAAAAATTCAGCAGATGTAAGTTGTTTAGAAACGAATGAAGATTTTCAAAATATTTTTTATTTGAAGTCAATGGCGTACCATTTTTTCTTTCAGAAATATTCAATGCAAAACCGGTATGGACGCCTCTGGTTGATATAAATAAAATTGTTAGTAAATTAAAACATGCGATTTGATGAATAGAAAACGTGTACCAAGTTTCACGAAGATATCTGTAAAGGAGGGTCCACATTTAGTAACATATTATATAACATTGCTATTTAACAAGCTACATGTAACATGTTAAAAAACCGGGAGCCGTCCGCATTATAGTTTTCGTAATCATGAATCGTTTTGACGAGAAAGAGGTTCTGCTCGCAGCAACGGCGTGCGTAATTACTTTTGAAGAAAGAGAAAGAAAGTCGAGAAAAAAGCGGTTTTGAGTCCGCAAAATCTAGATATAGTTGAACTCAATTAGCTTACCTTTTCAATACCTGCCTCGGCTGTTCTCGTGGTGTGTTTCTGTCATTTAAAACATTTATTAATAACATAAAGCAAACCATTTTTAATTATCCACTTCATCTAAACCAGTACCTGATTTGCATTTCTTTTGTTCCCTCTGGAACTGACCTATTAGATAACGCCTCGGATAACATTTTTTTCTAAACTTTTTCTTTTCCAAATACATACTTCTTGCACTTTTTAACCGTGCATGATGCTTTTTTCTATTTCACTTTAAATGAGGGACTACGGATATCCCATTACACTGTATGATCTCTATACAACTTAATTAGTTGACAAGTCTGCTCTTGGCTCTACCTCCATTAATATAAGAACAATGATCGAAAAAATGGCGTCAGCGATGGCTATGAAAATGAAGATCGCTGTCATTCTATATGGAAAATTATATGGGGAATGTCATCGATCGTCATGTCCAAGCCAACTGGGCGCAGTTTTTTCGATCTTACGATATTATTGACCAGTAAATAAACAAACCAATACCAGTTCACCACACTAAAATTCTGTCGCGTGCGTCCATAAAATATAAGCGGCTAAACTAGAAATTTAGCAAGTCTGGACGCATTGTTTCATGTTACAATAGCAGTGTAAACAACATCTTTTGATCTTTACCGACTACAAATGAATAACATCTAGCAAGTTATATAGCAGCGAAATTAGCTAAATATGACTAAAAACATGTAACATGTTATATAACTTTGCTATATGTATAGCAGTGTTATATAGCAAGTGTGGACCGTCCTTAATAACATCTCAGTTGTTATGAAAAAAAGTATTTTTTTTTTAAATTTACCACCCTGTATCTCAAAAGTTAAGACGTTTAGGACACACATTTATATGAAGTTTTTTTCTTAGAATATGTCCAGGAAACACCCTCTTAAATATTAGCATGTCATAAAGGAACACCCTGTATATGGCATATGAAAAATTATTATACCTACAAACGCT